AGTGATATATTTAAATTTTTTATTTGAAGCTCCTTAATCACTGGTATTTAACCTATTTTTGTGGTTTTATATTGGTCATTCATATCTCTCTTTCAGATAAGTGTTGATCCAAATACTTTGCTAGCTTGAAAATTGAATTGTTTACCTTTTTGATATTGATTTTAAATATAATGGGTCATATATATGTATATATGTGTGTGTGCATAAATATGTGTGTATACATGTATGTATATATGTGTGTGTGTTTATATGTGTGTGTGTGTGTGTGTGTGTGTGTGTGTAAAAATATCCTTGAGGGGAAGGGAGGGAGCATGGAGTTATTAATTATGGTGGAATGTGATGATCATTACTATCCAAAGTACATGTATAAAGACAAGAATTGGTATACTATGTATACAACCAGAGATATAAAAAATTGTGCTCTAATATTGTAATAAGAAGTGTAATGCATTCTGCTGTCATATATAAATTTTAAAAAGTCTACATAAAAAATCACTTCAACATTATACAAATTATTATATCAGATTTTTTTTTATTCCAGGGTTTATTATGGAGTGTTATATTCTCTGTATGTTTCTTAGGTTATTTTAGGTATGGGTTGAGAGTTGTGTGCCCCGAAATAAATTTTTGTCTCCTAAAATTAATATATATATATATATTATACTTGAATTCTATGAGTTGTCTCCTTACTCCTTCTTTACAGTTCTTAAATGCAAAACAAATTTTAGATTTGATGAACTTTAATTTATCCATTTTCTCCTATGAAGCTTGTGATTCTAGTGTCAGACCTAAAAAATCATTGCCAAATTCAAGATCATGATGATTTATGTCTATGTTTTCCTCTGAGATATTTATGGCCTTAATTCTTACATTTAAATATTTTGTACATTTTTTTTTTTACTATTGGTCATCTAAGTGAAATTTAGATACACAGAAAGTCAATCATATAAGTAATTTCAAGAACAAATTTCCAGTGGCCATGGCTTCTATAGTTTAGGTTAGCCTAATTTTAGGCAAATTTCCTTTTAGACTATTAACCCAATTATTGTTATTCTAAATCTTACTGGTAGATCATGGGGCTAAATAAGACTATTCATTTTATAAATCTAGTTCTCAAATGGACATTCTGAACAAAACATATAATAAGGCGGAAATCATGAATTGCCTTTTATTTACAAAAGACACATTTATTCTCAATCATATCATTCTCTGATTCTGTGGAATTTCTGGAAAATATACATTAAATCTTGTCACTGCTGCATTGCAATAGCCAATGTGTGTTTAGAACGTTCCCTGTAGTCATTGGGCTTTGTGATACTCAGGTGAGGATTTGGATGCTTGTGTCCTTTCTCCATGTTGTGTTGTTTTGAAATGACCAAGAGGGGAAAAATATAAATATAAGAATATTTATAAAAACAAAACTATAAAAAAAAGAAGGACTTAAGAGCCTGGAAGTACATATTATAACCTTTGTGGTTCATATGATCTGTTATAATCATTAAAATATGTTATGCTGTGAAAAATACTGTGGACAATACACAAAAATCTGTTTCAATAAAATTTTATTTATGAAATAAGCCTGTGTAAAGAATATTTTTGATTGGAAATCATTTCTAAGCCATGAGGTAAGAAAAAGGGGAAAATATAAGGCCATAGTAATAATCGTTAGGTGATTGCTATAAAAAGTAAAATATAAGATCAGCATTGCCATATAGAAATGCAGTGTAGGTTTGTTCAGAAAAAATTACCAAAAACAGTAATAAGAAACAAAACAAATTTTAATATTAGTTTATTTGAACCCATTAATTAGAAAAAATATCTTATGCAAAACTAAATAAGATTTTTAGATCATTTTTCATAGTAAACCTTTAAAATTCAAAATACATTTTTACATTTATAGAACATTTCAGTAGGGGCACAATTTTTATTAGCGATAATAAATTTTAAGAAACTTTCCATTCAAAAGATCTCATGTCATTCTAAATTTACTGAGAAATCTTCTAATAACTCAAATAAAATCAAATTCAAATAAAACCAAATAGAAATATATAATTTTTTATCCATATTAGAAATACTTCATCTTTTTAGAGTAATTGATATTACTTTGTGATAATTTCAGAACAGAAGAAGTTAAAAAACTATTCAAATTTAGAAAATCCAAAAACTATTGTGTAAATTTAGAATTAATACCACTAAATTATTAAAAAATGCATATTGATAGTTTGAAAAGTAACCCTAAATTTATTAAATCAACAAATTATTGTATAACTTTCTTTCGGTTTTTATAGACATTGTATATAATGCCATATATCATAATTAATATCATTCATAGGTTGATTCATGTTAGAAAAATAGGTAAACTCATTATTATTGATTTAAATTTTGAAAAGTTATTTTCTTTTAATTATTTTTTATTTATATATGATGGTGGAATGCATTACAATTCTTATTACACATATAGAGCACAATTCTTCATATATCTGGTTGTATAAACAGTATATTCACACCGATTCATGTTTTCATACCTTTACTTTGAAGAGTAATGATCATCATATTCTGCCATCATTAATAACCCCATGTAGCCCTTCCCCTCCAACACCTCTGCCCTATGCAGAGTTTGTCTATTCCTCCCGTGTGCTCCCACTCCCTATCCTACTATGAATCAGCCTCCTTACATCAAAGAAAACATTCAGCATTTGGTTTTTTCAACATAAATTCTTCTACTTGTTCAGCGAGTATGGCATCATAAATATTTGACCTATAGAGTTGCAAATGGTTCACACTGAAAAGATCCCCACTTGGTTTAAGGCATTTTTGTCAGTGTCATAAAATTCTTAATGTTTTAGAAAGTGGTTCTACATTTTCCTTAACAATGAGCATCACAGATTAGGTAGCTATTCTCATTGTCTAAACAAGTAAAATATAAGATTTACTTTTTGTTGGCATTTCCAAGTTAGCCTAACATATACAATGTGATGGCAAGAATATACAAACAATTAGATTTTGCCCAAGGTTATTGAATATTTAGTAAGCATTTTTAATGAAAATATAGTATTAAGAGATAATATTTTTAATAGTGTTCTACAAGTCAGGTTGTGAACTTTGTCAAAGAGTAATGTATAATTCAGCATTATCTATTGTTTTTGAATATTACTTAAATGAATGATAATTGTATTTGCCATATGTAAGCTGAATGTTATTGATAACTGTGTGCATGACTTTCTGCCAAGGTCTCGGCTTGGCACCAGAATCACGAGCCACCACACACCTTTGTAGGTTCAAACAGCAATTCTTTATTCCCGCTCTCACACCGCCTCCACACAGGTCCAGGGGCAAACATGTTCTGCCATCTCCCGCACAATTCACCTACTCCACGAGGCTCTCTCCAAATCCCATTTTAATCTCACGAGAACTCAACGGGAACAAGCAGCAGGAACACCCTAATCCCAGCAATAATCTTCAACTTCCAACTTCCCTAAAACCAATTATCTTAAACTGGCAACGCCTTAAACTCAAGGAGCCGGTTACTTCCTCAAACCTGATCAGCTCTAAACCCGGATCTGCCTTGGTCCTTGAGCAAGGTCACCTTATTAAAGCATGCATGCAATGTCCCATCGAATGTCCTCTAAGCAGCATGGGGTACGCTTGGCAAGGATGATGCATCATTCCTACTTGGTAATGGCCCTCAGCAACTTTCCATAGAACTTACTTCAAAAAGGAAAGATATTTTTCTAACATATATTATGAGATAGAGTAAAAAACTAAAGGAATTATCATTTGCTTGTCTTAAAATCTCAATAATCCCAGATTTCTGAAATCTAAAAACAAAAAGCATAAGCTACAACAAAACTATTTTTTCTATATTTAGTTGATACTCTTTTGACAAATGCAATAGATTCTAAAATATATGGCATAAACTCAATTTCTAGCTCCAAATTATCAATGAATCTCTTTAATTTGGAAGTTCTTTGAGAAAGTATGTACACAAGTATTAATTGAAAAATGTCCATTGCATTACATAATAGGAATATGAACAAAAGTATGTACAATTTTGATATATTCTTGAGAATATTTTATATTCATAGATAATTGGCAACCTAACTGAATATTTTTCACTTCCAAAGCCTGACTTTGTTGGCCTATACTGTGTAATCATTTGCCATAAAAGAAATTAATATTTTTTTAAATTCTCCATCCAAAAGCAGTTTAAATATTGTGGAATAATCAAACCATTTAATAAATGACCAGATAAATACACAGAGATCTTCTTATATATCATTTAATTTTCATGGTTAAATATTTAATTCTGATTCCAAGATAACTACTTTCCTTTTCTTTTTTCTTTCTATTTTCTGTGGATGATGGTTGAGTTAATTTTTTTTCAAATTAATTATATATCCAAACTATAAATACTAATGTCATCATATGTATGATACACACAAACACACACACACACACACACACATATATATGTATATATGTGCATATATATATATATATATGTATATATGTATGTATATTATATATATAATATACATACACACATACACATATACATTTCAGGAAGTTTTTTATGTTTTGTTCAGAGTAATAAATTGCACATGGTATTCATTGCAAAATTAACAACATTCATCTAACTGAAGTCATTTTTTATGCTATAGTTACTTTGCATCTTTAATTTATTCTTAATCAGCAGTGTTTCCTCATTGTAAAATCAATTTGTGTGGGTATGACATCAAAAACTTGGAAAACAAGAAGTCTGTTTGTCTCACCAGAGAAGCACAAAAGTAACAGTGATGTATGAGCCAAGTGTCTTTATGAGAAATCTAAATTACAGTAAAGAAGTAGTAACACCCATGATGAATACAAAATGAAGTATGGTTCCATTGAAAACAGAAAGAGTTATTTCATTTTATTCTCAACAGCCACTCTGCTAAACCAGCACAGCTGATAGAAATTACAAGCCCTGCAACTCTTTCCCTCTCTGTTTTACCTTACAGAAAGCTGATGGAACTGTCATAATTTGGATTTATTTGGCATCTAAAAGCAAAGAAAACAGGTCAGTCACATGTAGATTTCTACATCTCAGCATGGCTTTTCAAGTTTGGGGAAGACACAAAATGTGTTACTTCTTCTCCAGAAGGAAAGGAGAGGAGTTGAATGTTAACCCTGAGTTCTAGTCTTTCCATGTTCTATACAAAAGCAGTTTTTGTCTCAACACATTTACATTACTGACAAAACTTGCAAAATACTGTTTATAAATACTGAAAAGGAGGTGTTTCTTCAAAAGTGCAGTCATCAAAGTAAACAATAAGAAACATAATGAATTAGAAAACTATGACATGATGAAGAGAACAAAATAAATCTTCAGTAACAGATACAAAACAAATGGATATCTATTCCTAGCCTGGAAAAGAATTAAAAATAATCATCTGAAAGAAGTTCAATGAATTAAACTGAGATTTCATCTCACACAAGTCAGAATGGCAGTCATCAAGAATACAAACAGTAAAAATGCTGCAGAGTATGTGGAGAAAAAGATTGCTTTTTCACCTGGGGGAAATGTAAATCAGTACAACCAGTATAGAAATCATTGTGGGGGTTCCTCAAAAGACTAGGTTTGGAACAACTATATGATCCAGCTATACCATTCCTCAATATTAATCCTAAATAATTAATATCATCATAGAATAGTGATACATGCATACCCAGGTTTATAGCAACACAATTCACAAATAACCAAATTATGGAACCAGCCTTAGTGTCTATCAATAGATGAATGGATAAAGAAAATGTGGTAAATATACACAATGGAGTTTTATTCAATCATAAGGAAAATAAAATTATGTCCTTTACAGGAAAATAGATGGAACTAAAGGCCATTATATTAACCAAAATAAGTCAAATATATAAGTCCATGGATTATATGTTTTCTCTCTTATAGGAAAGGAAGCTAGAGAGAACAAAAGAAAAAAACACTTGAGAGGTGGTGATCACAGGGAAATCCTTAGAGTAAAATAACTAGGGTATTAGGAAGTAGAAGGGGGAAAAATTGCTGGGGAGGGACACTGGTCAAATTGTACTATTATATTGGGAAAATGTGTGAATATGTAACAACAAATTCCATTATTATCTATAATTATAATGCACCAATAAAAATGTCAAAAGAAAAACAAGGAACAGTAATTCTGGAACTTAAGTAAATTAGTAGAACAATTTAAAAATAATTCAGTAAAAAAAGACTCTCAATGAGTTGTAAAAGAACAGAGTTAGACAAATCAATGGATTTGGGAAAATCACACAAAGAAAAAGAGAATATCAGCAAAATGATAGAAATGATAAGAAAGAATTAATTTGAAAGACTATAGGAAAAGACTACTAGCTAAACTGTAAAATTTATTATAGTAGATCAAAAGCAGACTCGCTCAACTAAAATAAATTATCAGTAAATTAAGAGACATATTATTTGAAAGAATCCAATAAAAAGAGTTAAAAGAAATAAAAAATAAGAAATAATGAGAAAAGCCATGAGACTTGTGTGACATCAAAGTTACAAAGTAAAGATTTTAAAAGATCTAGTACTTAGATGTGGAAAGCTTATTTCAAGAAAGAGTAGTCAGACTATTCTTGAATATTGGGAAGGAAATAGATATTTAGATTTCTGAACCCAAAATTCTCCAAATAAAATGAATACAAGAAAGGTTATATCAACATACTTCATCATTAGATTGTCAAAATGTAAAGGCAAAGATAATTCTGAAATCAGCATGAAAACAACAAATTGTAACATATGAGGGAGCTTTTATAAGAATATAACAGTTTTCAGCAGGAACTTTACAGGTTTGAAGGGAGTGGAATGAAATATACAAAAGTGCTATGACAGACTGAGGTTGTAGCTCAGTGGTGGAGGGCTTGCCTAGCACATGTGAAGCATTGGGTTTGATCCTCAGCACCACATAAAAATAAAAAAAAATATATTGTGTCCATCTACTGAAAACATGTTTAAAAAAGTGCAATAAGTAAAAATAAAAATAAAATACCATGTAACAATACCTTAACCATTAGAGCTGTAATTTAAAAGAAAATAGATGAAGTCTGTTTAAGACAAAAAAAGCTGAAGAAGGTTATCCCAATACACCTAACTTACAATGACTGCCTAGGCTACCATAAATAGTACAGTTTCATAGATTTCACTTTCAGCTAATTTTTCATTGGTGTGTAGGAACACAATTCATTTATGGGTATAAATTTTATATGCTGCTACTTTGCTAAATTATTTTATGAGTTCTAGAAGTTTTATGGTGGAGTTTTCTAAATATAGAATCATGTCATTGGCAAGTAGGGATGGTTAGAGCCCTTCTCCTATTTATAGCCTTTTAATTTTTTTCTTTTGTCTAATTGCTCTGACAAGGATTTCAAGGACTGTATTGAATAGAAGTGGTGAAAAAGGGAATTTCTGTCTTGTTCCACTTTTTATAAGGAATAATTTTAATCTTTCTCCATTTAGAATGGTGTTGACCTGGGGTTTAGGATATATAGCATTTACAATGTTGAGATATATTTCTACTATCCCTATTTTTCTAGTGTTTTGTGTATGAATGAATGCTGAATTTTGTTTAATGCTTTCTCTGCATCGAGATAATAATTTGATTCCTGTCTTTAACTGTATTGATGTGATGCTGAATTATGATTATTAATTTCCATATGTTGAACCTAATTGCATCCCCGAAATTTACCCTGATCGTGGTGTACCATCTTTTTAATATGTTTTGTATGTGGTTTGCCAGTATTTTATTAAGAATCATTGTATTTATCTTCATCAGGGATGTGGGTCTGAAGTTTTCTTTCCTTGATATGTCTCTGTTTGATTTGGTATCAGGGTTATACTAGCTTCATTGGATGAATGTGGAAGTGTTCTGTCCTTTCTTATTTCATGGAATAATTTGAGGAGTTTTGGTGTAAATTCTTATTTAAAGGTCTGATAGAACTCTACTGAGAATCCGTCTGGTTCTGTGCTTTACATTTTGTAGGCTTTTTATGGCATCTTCAATTTCATTGCTTGAAATTTATGTGTTTAAATTTTCTATGTCCTCCTGATTCAATTTGTGTAAGTCATATGCCCCTAGAAATTTGGTGATGTATTCATGATTTTCTATTTAATTGAAATCAGGATAACTATCATGTTCAAAATAGCCTCAAAAAAATAATACAAAATACTTGGGAATCTAACAAAAGAGGGGAAAGACCTCTACAACAAAAAATACATAACACTAAAGAAAGCGCTATACAGATTTAATGAAATTCCTATTAAAATTCCAATGATGATATTCATAGAAATAGAAAAAGCTGTTGTGAAATTTATTTGGAAAAATAAGAGGCCCAGATTATCCAAAGCAATCCTTAGAGAGATATAGTAAAAAAAACAGCATGACATTGGCACAAAAACAGACATGAAGACCAATGGAACAGAAAAGAAGAAACAGAAACATACTTGCATAAATACCATTAATACATACTAGAGAAAGGCACCATAAACATACATTGGAGAAAAGATAGCTTCTTCAAAAAATTTTGCTGGGAAAATTGGAAACCCACAAGTAGTATAATGAAATTGAACCCCTATCTCTCAAACTACACAAAAATCAACTCAAAAGTGATTCTAGGACCTAGGCATTAGACCAGAAACTCCTGGCCTTCTATAAGAAAAAGGAGGGCCAACTCTCCATCATGTTGGCTTAGGAAAGGATTTCTTCAATAAGATTTCTAAAGCTCAACAAGTAAAATTATGAATTAATAAATAGGATGGTATCAAACTAAAAAGCTATTTACAACAAAGGAAAAAATCAAGAAAATGAAAACAGAGCCTACAGAATGGAGAAAATCTTAGCCACTTGCACCTCAGAGCTATAAAATATAAAATATTTAATAGCCTCATAGTAATATCAAAGTAAAATCTTACAGAAGATAATCTTCAGGTTATGTAAATAATTTAAAATTTTTAACACTAAATAAATAACTCAATCACTAATGAGCAAAGGGACCAAACAGGTACTTCATAGAAGAACAAATATAAATGGTCAACAAATACATATATTGCTCAATATCTCTAGCAATTAGAGAAATGCAAATAAAAACTACACTGAGATTTCCACTCCCATCAAAATGACAACTTTCAAGAATACAAGTAACAATAAGTGTTGGTGATGGTGTGGAGAAAAAGGTTCATGTATACATTGCTTGTGGTGCCACCACTCTGGAAAGCAGTATAGGCATTCCTTAGAAAACTAGAAATGGGATAGCTGGGTCAAATGAAATTATGACATTTTCCAATAAATGGATGGAGTTGGAGAATATCATACTATGTGAAATGAACCAATCTCAAAAAAATCAAAGGCCAAATGTTTTCAATAAACTATGTGTTCTAATTCATAATGGGGGGTAGGCACTTAAGAAGAATAGAGTTACCTTAGAGTTACCTTAGATTAGGTAGAGGGAAGTGAAGGGACGGGAGGGGAAGTCATGTGGGGATAGAAATTGGAGTAGAATGAGATAGACATTATTAATTTAATGTATACATCAAGCCTAATGCATTCTACTGTCATAAACAATTATTTCAAACAGTTAAAAATTAAAAAAAAAGAAAAAGAAAACTAGAAAAGGAACCACTATTTAATCCAGTTAACTCATTTCTCAGTTTATGCCCGAAGGAATTAAAGTCAGCATACTACAGTGACACAACTATATCAATGTTTATAGCAGCTCATTTATAATAACTAAGGTATAGAATGAATCTAGGTGCCTTTTAACAGATAAATGGATAAAAATTAGTATATACCCACAATGGAATATTACAAGCTGTAAAGAAATATGAAAAATATATGGCATTTGCCAGTAAATAGATGGAACTGAAGACTAACATGCTAAGTGAAAAAAGTCAATCCCAATAGATAAAAGAATCATGAAATTCATATGGAATAATAAAAGACCCAGAATAGCAAAAACAATGCTAAGCAGGAAGTG